GAGTTAGAGATTGAGAAACTCTTACTATCCATCAACGATGAACCAAGAAGTTACAAAGAAGCCAAGAGTTCATCAAAGTGGAGAGGTTTCTGTGGAGAAGAAATCGACTCGATCAACAAGAACAAGACATGGAAACTTGTTGAAAAACCATCTAGAGTTAAGGTAATTGGACTCAAATGGATTTTTAAAATTAAAAGGAATGCTGATGGTACTATCAAGAAGTTTAAAGCAAGGCTTGTAGCTAAAGGATACGTACAAGAATCATGCATAGATTATGATGAGGTTTTTGCACCAGTTTCTAGACTTGAAACGATACGGCTATTGAGTGCTCTAGCAGCTTCACAAGGTTGGCAAATTCATCATCTAGACGTAAAGAAAGATTTCTTATATGGTGAGCTAAAGGAAGATGTTTACGTTGAACAACCCGAAGGCTTTGAAGTCAAAGGCAAAGATCATAAGGTCTATAAGCTTTCAAAGGCCTTGTACGGTCTAAAACAAGCTCCACGAGCCTGGAACACGAAGCTAGATCAAGTGTTGAAGAGCATGAAGTTCAATCGATGCACCAAGGAGAATGCAGTATACTGTAAGGAAGAGAAGAAAACGATCCTCATCGTTGCTATATATGTGGACGATTTGTTCATAACTGGAAACAGCCTTGGGGCTATAAGTGAGTTTAAGAGAGGGATGTCTGCAAAATTTGAGATGTCTGATCTAGGTAAACTCACATATTACCTTGGTATTGAAGTACATCAAGAAAACGATGGGATTGAGCTTAAACAAGAAGCATAAGCAAAGAGAGTACTACAAGAAGCAGGCTTAGAAACATGTAACCCGACCAAGATACCAATGGAGTTCGGTCTTAAGGTCTCAAAATATGAAGAAGAAGAAGAGATAGATGCAACAGGGTACAGAAGAAACATGGGATGCTTACGATATTTGCTTCACTCAAGACCAGACCCAGCATTTTCAGTCGGAGTAGCTAGCCGATATATGCAAAGGCCTCATAAGTCACATGGTGATATCATAAAGCAAATAATGCGGTATTTACAAGGTACTTCTGTGTTCGGTTTAAAGTACAAGCGTGAAGAAACAAAGCAGTTGACCGGCTAAAGTGATAGCAGTCATAACATAGACCAAGATGATGGAAGAAGCACCACGGGTCACATGGTTTACTTTGGATCCTCACCTATTACTTGGTGTTCACAGAAACAGGACACAGTTGCACTCTCCTCGTGTGAAGCGGAGTTTATGGCTGCAACAGAAGCTGCACGACAGGCCATATTGGTCCAAGACCTTCTAAGCGAGATCACAGGCTGGAAGACAGAGAAAGTTCCCATCAAGATCGACAGCAAGTCAGCTATACAGCTCACCAAGAACCCTGTGTTTCACGGCAAGAGTAAGCACATACATAAGCGTTACCATTTCATACGTGAATGTATTGAGAGAGAGCTTGTTAACGTCGAGCACATACCGGGAACGATACAGAAAGCAGATATCCTCACAAAAGCTTTGGAAAGGATTAAGTTCGTTGAGATGAGAGACTTAATAGGAGTTCAAGACTTGTCCAAGAATGATTCAAAGCTTAAGAGGGATATTGTTGGATAAGCTTTGATTACTTGAAGCTCAAGATATCCTTCAACAAGTCGGTTAAGGATAAGATAAGCTTTAATATAAACCTAGTAGTATTATGAGTTATCTAGAGCTATTAGGAAAAGGAAATCTACTCTAATATATATACATATACCGAGTTGTGGTAATTGTATAACGTGAGAGAGGAGTGTTTTAGTTTTGAACATATTTTTTTCTAAGACATTCAATAAAGAAAAGCAAGTTCTTTATATACGTTTTGTGTGATTCCAAAGTTACTTTAAATCGACAGCTCCAACATGTTGTAATGAAAGGCAAGATTAAGAAGTGCTAATTAAAGTTTGGATTCTTCGGAAACCCAGAATCCCAAAGATGTCTCTATCGGCTAGGATTTTTCTACTCGTTACTGAACAAAGATGATGAGATACGCAAACAAAGTGATGGCATAGAACATTAAAATTTTTGTTATAAACGAATGCTTAGACAAAATCACGAAAATCATTGTATAGATTTGGTTAAATCATACAAATCTCAAAGTCGCAAAACGAAACAAGTGTATGAAACAGATATCCTATAATTACAGTAGTTAATTGTGTATCGTTAGAGTAAATAATTGTTGGACCAAAAAATAATGATTAATTAATGAATAGGTCCAACAACTTTGTATAAGTAGATTTTCAAAACTGTTTCTCTTTTAATAGTATAGATGAATGTTAATCAGGAACCATAGTTTAATTTATTCACAAACACTATAAACTTATTTTTTCCTTACAGATTATAGTTTTTATGGTTGTTTAATTCAAAACTTTGATTTAAATGTTTTTAAATATTTAAATTATTGATCTCTTAATATTAAACCAATTTATTATCAAATGGTTATACTTTCTATTAATATATTTAACTTATTAAGGACAAGTTTTGCATTTAATTAAATATAATTTTCATAAAATTAATTACATTTTACTCTTTCTGCTTTAGTTTATTTGATGTTTATATCCATAATTTTTGTTATAAAATAAGTGATATTCTCACTATTCTAGATAAATTTTAATGTCGTTTGACATTTGTAATTAGTTACAGAATACTACATTTTGTTAGTTGAACTACTTTTATGTAGTGATACGTTTATATAGTTTAGATATTTTTTTATAAAAACATTTTTAATATATACACTAATTATAAACATCAACTAATATGAACAGATAGAGCACTTAATTTTATATGATTGGGTAGTCTAGTAATTCCTTTTAAATGTGGCCAAACTGTGATCGTGGGTTGTGAGCTCTCCCGTTATGCAAAGTCAAATATTATTTAATTTTGTTGGAATAAAACATAGGTTCTTCCCATCTACTCCCTGATTTGTTGAACAAAAAGTTGGAAACATCTATCTTCTTGATGTACAAATCACTAGACAAGTGACAAAGTCCAACCGCGCCACGTTTACCAATGTTGATTTGTCATATTTTATATACTTGCGTTGATGGAAACTAATTTAAATAGCCAAATAAAATTTCAAATGTAACCTTTTAGACAATTAGTGTCCTCCTTTGATCTCACCCCTCTAACAAAGTGGCGAGTGGCGAGTGCTCTATTATTTTTTTACTTATCAAGACCACCAATATTGTTTTTCAAGATCCAATAATAATGCCGTCCATATTCCCAAGAGTAAGCTCTCAAGTCTCAACTAAACCCTTGTATTGGTCTCCTAATCTTTCTGATTTCGATTTCCACTTGGAACAATTTAATGGTCGGTTGTGCTCACCATTGAGAATGGGCTTTCACCCAAAGTTTATCTGATAGATTGCCTAGTGGTCGGTCTCACTCACCCTTGATATTAATTTAGACTTGTTGCAGCTGGTTGTACATTGAGTTCTTGCAAGACAAGTTGGACCCATTGCACCCTCCAGCAAGGGCCGAGGCAGGATGAAGATTACAAGTGTTTGCAATCAAACTCTAACGTACAAAATGCTCCTCAACAAAATTGCTATTATCTTGAATTATTAACCAAGCTTTCATTGTCGTGGATACTGTGGTTGACTGCTTTTACATATAGCCAAGCATCATACCTTCTTCCTTAGTTCCAACGAATGACTCAGTTCACATAGAAACTTTTATGCATCTTGGAAATTTACATATAATATACAAATATAATTGTCTTGACACATTTGGTGTGTGCCAATTGTTTTCAGATTCTTTTTGGTGTTTAAGAATGCTAAGAAAGATAGATGGGCTGGTATGTGCCCATATGCTTACAAATTCATCATTTTTATTGGTAAACTGTTTTCTTATCACGTTAAAAGCAGGAAAAAATATTCCATTTTCGATAAAGATATCATTCTTTTCTTATCTGAACGAATTTTTTATTTATTTGGAGATTAAATTCGAGAAAGAGTGTAGTTTCAAAACATTCGACTGAACATGATGATGTTTTTCATCTTTTCTACAAGCAAAGTTCAGTTAATTAAGTTTGTTTACCGATTAATCCCAGTTTCTTAACTGGAGTTTTTAGCTTTGGATAAGAAATGATTTTTAGTTTTTTTTTTAGATTTAATTAAGAAAAGCTAAGAAAACCGTTTTTAACCGAAAAATGTAAAAATAAAATTAAAAAAATGTCAAACCATGAATTAAGAATTCCGGCTAAAAAATTTAGGTTAATTATGCCCTAAGGACCGAAGAAAATAATGATTTAATTTCTATTTTTAAATTGGATTATGTTAATCTTTGCCTCACTCACTCTCCACTATTGAGTCTAGTAAATGGAAAGTGAAAGTGATTTAAGATATCGTACCAAAAATATTATGTGGTAATTGCAATAGCAGTTAAACAAATGAGACCTACGAGGCCGGTGGGGGGGCGGAGACTCACTGACGGGGCGGTCAATTTACATTCCCATTGGCTCGTTTGTTACCATTTTAACTAACTATTTGTTCAGTACCTCAATACAATAAATTGATACATATTAACCGAACAGGTTTTGCATACCAGTCGTAATATCTGGATAAATATATGCATATAGTTTAAAGAAAACGAAAGGAGTTGCATGAAGTTTGTCTGTAGTTCTTTTTAGATATGTTGTGATCAGTCTCTTATGGTTTGTCTAAGTCTTGATCCCCAAGTATAAAGAGTACGAGAAACGAAACAGAGGACACAAGTAATCGTTGTAATTTAATCAAAGAATCATATTAGTGATATATTTTAATGATCACAAGTCATAGAATGTTAGAATCATATGAAACTACATTCTCACTAGCTAATAATGGGCTGCAATTTCGGGCATTATGGGCTGAGTTACGTACGTACATACATTCAACTTTCAAGCACGTCACTCTCACTTAAACGTAGTGAACAACTCCTCTTGAACCTAACAAAAATCCTCATCCGTTTGACGCCTCTTAACGTCTTTGGATTATCATCCACGTAACAACTTCAAACTATTGAGCATTAATACAATAGTATTATAAAATACATTATTAAAGTTGGGTTGTTGTAATAAAAATTAAAATAACGTGGACATTGACTTGTAAACTCTGAATTTTTAAAACATACAGCATGAATAACTCAATATTCTACGTTCACACTAGCACGGAGAAACTCAAGTCATCTCTAAACGCACGTTTCAAATCGCTAAAACTAACGTTCGAGCACGCAACGATAAGTCTCTCTCCCGCGTCACCTCTAGCCTCTTCGTTACGCAGAGTCCTCCATCTACAGAGCTTTCCTCCTTCCATCTCCGCCGCTACAACCTCCCCAATCTCCGCCGCGTTATGCACATAAACCATATCTCCAACCGCGTTAAACGCTATCGCCGTTAACGGCCAACCATAACCAATCCCTCTGAGTTTCTCAAAGCACTCCTTAGGCATCGATCCAATCCATTCGAATTTCGAATCCATCGGCGATGATTCGGTGGAAACTACTTCCCACAGTTCGATCCCCGTCGGATTATCCGTATCGTCTCCCGTGATCCCAGCCACGAGGAGACGGTTACCGTCGGATCCAACCACGCGCGAGTGTAGTAATCCACACTCGCTGGGAGAGAAATCGACAAGTTTCGTCCACGATCTCGTCTTGGGATCGAAGCTACAAGCAACACCTGATCTCTTCTCCGTCACGTACATCTTTCCCGCGCAAACCGCGAGGGAGAGCCACGTGGAGGATTCGGATCCCGAGAGGTACTCCGGCATCGACTCGCATCTCTCCCACGCTTCTTCTTCGCCGGATCCGACGTCGAGCATCTCCACGGCGAGTCTATCGTCCTCGAAATCCCACACGCCACCGGCCACGATCAGACTCCGTCCCACGACGGCGACGATCGGATCGATCCTGCAGATCTTCGGCGACGCCACGTGTCGCCATTCGAGGTGAAACGCGTCGACGGAGAAGGAGAGTCTCCTGGTCGAGAGCGCGTAGAGCAGCGTGGAGTGGGAGGATCGGGCGTCGGACACGTGTTCGACGGGGGATGCGGTTTTGATCTCGATCCAGTTATCGGACTTTGGATCGTACGCCATCGCCGTCGCCGCCGTGGTGTACGGTGGATTTTTCCTCTGTTTGTAGAGGAGGAGCCAGGGCGTGGGCTTGAGGCGGTGGAGGGAGAAGAAGACGGCGCGGTTCCAGGATTTGGACACGTGGCAGGCGGAATCGAGGTCGAGGAGGGGCAAGTTGGAGAGGATGGAGGCGAGTATGTCTCCGTCTATGGAACATTCTTCTTCTCCGTTCTTCTTATTCTTATTCTCCATCAAATCTTTTTTGTGAACGATTTTGATAATGATGAAGTGATAGGAGAGGGAAAGGTGTTTTATGAGTCAGGAGAAGTTGGTCACCTACGAGTTTTTAATTTATATAGACATTTTGTTTTATTCAGTTCATACATACTCTATGATAACGTCTTAGGATGTGATTGGTAAAAGTTTAGAGGGAAATCCTTTATATTATAAAGCAGAAGTCAATTGAGAATTTTAAGAGTGACATGTGTCATTTGAATTTTGTTTTTGTTTTTTAAATTGTTTTTTTTACAAACGAGAGTTTGAGATCTAAAATCGGTTACTTTTACATCTCTTACTTGCCACTATCTTCTTATAACTACTTCTATTTCCACTACCTTGTGGATTATTTGCAAGTGCAACTATATAAATAACCATGTCATTTTCTCTTGGAAACTAAAAACAACGATCACAAACCAGTAGCAAAAATGTTCATAAGATTTTTTTGGATTTGTTTTATAGATCACTAACCAAATTTATATAGATATTAAAGTTTATTGGGAAGAACAAATTTATACGTATTGGTAAGTATTGTTTCCTGTTTATTACTCTCTTCTTTTGAATTGTGGTTATAGATTTTTATATTTATATAATAATTACTCACTTCCAAATTTGGAAACAATATAGATGAATATAACGATGACTACCAGAAACACTATAAACAACTTTCCAACATTGTGTTTGAACCAGTTTTTTTTTAATGGTTATTCTGTGTCTTTGATTCTAATCCATCCCAAAGAACCTTTTTTAGTATTTTGAATAATGTATATTAAATTATTTCATTTTAGTTTTTGAGTGAAAAGAGTCAATGGTTTAGTAAACGAAAGAAATCAAAAGACATTAATTTATTTTTCTATAGACATTCATCTTTTTTTGAAAGGGCTTTTTTGCTCAATAACAAAAAAAAAAGAACTTCTATATGACATTTATCTTACTGTGGATGATGAGTCTAATTAGTTCAATAACATGTACAGATAAAAGGTAAAAAAAAAATCAAGTATGTGTATTTGTTACATTTCATATAGAAAATAATAAAAAGAAGCAAGTGATGTATGATTAAAATTGGTCTATCACCGAGCTTATGAAATTAATCTTTTTTTTTTGTTTTTGAGAACAAATTTAATGTCATAGAAGTAAAAAAAGTGCACATTTTATGTTCTTATGCGAATTATTTTATGGATTTGTTATATCTTAATAGAAAGTTGGATTTATTTTTGATGGTCTATGAACTAAGAAAAAAGTATCCAAATTTCACATTTTTTTATTTTCATTCATAACTACATTTATTTATCCAGAATCGATGCTATTCTAATCAAAATTTGATTTAGAGTAGTACAAAAAAAATCGAAGTTAAAACGAAATTCTAATAAACATGACTATTCCCATGCATAGCATGGGCCACAATCCTAGTAGAGTAAATAAAAAGGTGGAAATGAACTGGAAATAAAACGAATTGCAATTGAAAAGAAAAGAAGAAAACCAGAGTAAATATATACTTTTCTGTATAAACCAGAGTACAAGTTAGACTATGCTTGTGTCTATTTAACCGCAAATAGCTAAATGTAGAGCAAACACTTTTTTACCTGATTGGTAAATTTGTAGCAGAACATAGAGTAAACTTACTTTTTGAGTAAACTTACTTTTTGAGTAAACATTTACTCTATTATTGTCGTACAGTCAAGGCTTTAAGAGTGATTTAGTGAACTACCCATATTTGAAGTTCAAATTAGCAAAATACCATTGATTGGACATGAAGGACACTGACACAACCATTTGGCAAGGAAATGCCGAGAATGCCTTTTCTCTTTCCTCTCATTAACACGAAGCGTAAAAACATTTGTTAACATATAACACTTCTGTTAACGTCTACAATATTTGTTAACAGCCAAAACATTTATTACCGTGAAGCGTAAAAATAATTGTTAACAGTTAACATTTCTGTTAACGTCTACAATATTTGTTAACAACGAACACATTTATTAACACGAAGGGTAAAAATAATTGTTAACAACTAACACTTCTGATAATGTCTACAATATTTGTTAACCGCTAACAGGCCGTCGAATCTAAAACCCAGAAAATTGATATCATCAAAAAAATGAGAGAGAGAGAGAGTGCTTTTAACGAAAATGAAGGACTGACACATCCACATGGTCACATGTATGTGGAGGAATGGCAAAACCGTCGTAAAAATTAAGTTAAATCATGGGTAAGTTGCAAATATGGGTGTCCATTTGGGGTACTTTAGTCAATTAACTCAAGCTTTAATGCATCCAGTATATTGAAGTGAAGAATTATATTAGCATAATATTTAGATTATCATTATTTAGAATGGAATTATGTGAATGACTTATTTTATCAATTCCAGAAGATTTTTTTTTTTTTGAATAGAATGAAATAGTTCCATAACAAATTTGAGGAAGAACGATGGGGCAAAATTTATTTTTACCATTTTGAAATAGGAATGAAGTAGTTTTAAAATCAATTCCAAAATTTTTTTTACCATTTATTTTTAAATTCTCATCTCTTTGGGATAACATGAATATTATACATAAGAAATAAATTAATTTATTCAATTGATTGCTCATCAAATTTGATATGAAATATTTCTTTTTAGAATTTATCTATTTTATGATTAAAAAGGATATTTTATCTATTGATTTATGGAATTGATGAAATTATTTTTGGGTAAACGATCTATTTCTCCACGAGAACTATCATATAGCATCAAACATCCACTAAACTATGATCTCGTGCTAAACTCAATGAATTTAAAGTTGTAACTTGATTTCTCCCCAAATTGATAGTTCGAAACTTAATAACCAATAAAAATGGTTTTATTCGGTTTACTATTAAACAATCAGTTTTAACCCAATTAAACCAAAAAAACCTCAAATTAATTTGTATTTTAAAAAAAAACTGATTCAAGACAAAAAAATTGATTCCTAAATTTTTTTTTGATTCATCAACATCAGTTCATTCTCCTTCGATCTCAATCACACATAGCTTCTCTGAACTGTTTGATGAACATATCAATCACCGAGGAAATTTGGAGTGGTATATATTGTCCATGCCGTCTTCTTCGCTATCCCAGCGACTCAGCATACGACAGCTTCGTCATTTCCTCGGTTGGATTTGGTGGCGGAAGGGAGAGATGTTGAAGTCGATTGATGAGTGGTGGACTGTAATAGGTGGAGGTTATTCCTCACCGACGACAGTGGATAGAAGATAACGAGTGATGATTGATGAGAATAAATAAAATTAAGAAGTAGTTGGTGTTACTTGGAAGCCATGGCTGATCGGTGTTGAGAGAGAGATGGATACAATGTCGACAAACATTTTTTTGCAATTTTTGTTGAATCAATTTTTTTTATAAGAATTTTCTTGGTTTAGTTGGTTTAAAATTAGTCATTTAATAGTAAACCAATTAAAACCATGGTCAATGGACAATTATATTTTGAACTATCATATGGAAATGACTTCACCATGAAAGAGGCAGTAAAACACTTGTGGTGGTGATCAAAACAAGTCAATATACCATTATTGTACTACCTCAAATCTTAAAATAGAATAAGATCACAAACAAAGGGAAGCAAGAAAAAACTTCAAGGACGCAACGACACAAGAATAGAGGGTTGTGTTTACATAGTGTAGTAATAAAAGCCATATGATCTCTTTTATTCATTTTTAAAGTTGTGATGCTACATTTACTTATATAAAAACTTTTTGAAGGTTTTCAAATTTGAGATTATCTTAAACTTTTAACTCAAGCCAATTAACTATGAGTGGATTAATCCTTACATTTTTATATACCAGAGAAAAATTAGCTTCAAGGTCAACGAACCACGACTCATGTACCAAACTGTATTTGCACATTTGATCAATAATTAAAAAGTTATGTTCCTATCCAAATGGGATATCTATGAAGTTGACAAACAGTTCAATATTATCTACAAGACTTAGTATCTGTCTACCATTTCAAATCACAAATGCAACATTTGACTATTTATGGACTGTATTTTCAGATTTGTATACCTTATCGACGAAAGTTTGAGTTATCGAGCAGGGCAAGGAGATTGGACCCGAATGTTTTTTTAAATAATTAAACTTTATTCCACCACAGATTTGATTTCAGGACCACAACTGATCGTGAGAAAGATGAAATGCATAAGGAAAAAAATGAGATTTTAATTAGATCGATAGCTACTCATACAACCTACAAGATAAGGCTTGAGAATGATATGCCATTAATACTTTGAATTTAATGGACCATGATTTTTTTCATATTTGTGTTTATTTTTAAATCAGCAAATGTATTCCAAAGGGAGAATTAACAAAATTATACTCAATTTTAATTTTTTTTTAAAAAAAATTGTTTAATTTTTTCATATTTGTATTTATTTTAAATTTTAATCTCTAAAATAGTAGTAGTTCTCAATTTTTGTATTCCGTGTTAAAATGGCTATTTTTTTCATATTTGTATTTATTTTAAATTTTAACTCAGCTAAATTTCATTTCTTTTACCAAACCATTTTAGTCCATTTAAAATTTAACCGTTTAGTTTTATTAGTTATATTTAGGGTCTGACTGGTTGAAACGCGGCGGTTGCGATTGCGGTTGCGGGAGTTTGCGGAAGTGGGTGGTTGCGGTTACTAGCGTTATTAGGCGATC